TCTCTCTCTCTCTCTGTTCGTTGTCGTTGTCGTGTGTGTGTGTTGTGTGTTGTGTGTGTGTGTGTTGTGTGTGTGTTGTGTGTGTCGTGTTGTGTGTGTGTGTGTGTGTGTGTGTGTGTGTGTGTGTGTGTGTGTGTGTGTGTGTGTGTGTGTGTGTGTGTGTGTGTGTGTGTGTGTGTGTGTGTGTGTGTGTGTGTGTGTGTGTGTGTGTGTGTGTGTGTGTGTGTGTGCGTGTGTACTCCTCTCTCTTCGTAAGATCTAGCGCTATGTAGATGGTAGATGCACAGGCCTTGCGTGCTGGCGTAGCAATATTCCGCTGCTGTGTGTTGTAGTTGTTACAGATGTACTAATCACATAGAACACGTGGCTTCGTAAATCTCTTTTCCGTACTGCTATCTCTCTCTCTCTCTCTGTGTATATTCTCTCTCTCTCTCTCTCTCTCTCTCTCTCTCTCTCTCTCTCTCTCTCTCTCTCTCTCTCTCTCTCTCTCTCTCTCTCTCTCTCTCTCTCTCTCTCTCTCTCTCTCTCTCTCTCTCTCTCTCTCTCTCTCTCTCTCTCTCTCTCTCTCTCTCTCTCTCTCTCTATCTCTCTTTTCCTCTTATTTCCCCCTCTTTCTTTTAAATTCATGTAATCGCCCACCTTTCTCTCTTACTGGGTGTAGTGATCTAGATATGTGGTTAGTGGCTATCGTCTGTGTTATGCTCGAGTATTTTTTCACGATCGGCTGTCTTTTGTAAAGGTCGCTGCAGTTCAGTGGATGTATAGCCCGCCTACACTTTGTAGTCGACACTTATTGCGAATACGTATTTCGTCCGGTTTGAACGAGGCTGTCGTGAAACGAAGCTTACATCAGGTTTATATGCGGATTTTTCGTGTTGTAGTACTTAGTGGCTGTCTCGTAACTGTTTCAAGTTATGTTGTCTTGCTCTCGTCTGCACGGCATAGATCATAGGTCGTCTGACAACCACACAGTGGTGTTTATTAAATCTATATGTAAGCACGTTTTCACTCGAAGCTACTCGCGTAGAAGACAATAAATTCAACGATATGAATATACGTATTTGATTAGAGAGTTTGTAAGGCGTATCTTATTTGGTGAGATTTAAGCGGGCCTTGCTACGGTGTAGTACTTTCGTTTTGTTTATTCAGACTAGGTACACGGTAGTTAGCGCCCGTCAGGTGCTACTGCTTCGGCCGTTTAGAATACTCACATACATAGATTGTGTTGAATCTCTTGCTTTTTGGTAAATTTTCGCTAGACATTCGTAAAGGTTTCTGACGTAAACGTGTAACTTAGCCGTGAAATTAATCGCACTGTAATGTGATACAGGCATAAATTTTAATGAACTAGAGCTAGTGTATAATCAGTCGCAAAAATATTAATTACCGAGCGTGCGGTGCGTGAGAAAGGAACACACGTAAGATACGCAATGATTACTTCAAATAGTCAATAGTCAATACTTCACTAGGTTTAGTGGTCGAACCGACAGCAACGAATCTGTTGCTATTGGCCCGAATGATGGGCCGCTCGCTGCTATCTTGACAGAGCTAACTTGATCGGAACTTGATTATTGACCCTGTTATTGTTTCCACTTAGAATGCGGATGCAGTCAGCAAGCTGTTTGCTTGTAAGTGTTATATACGTCGCGCGGGCAGATAGGTTTTGTCGACTTATGTCTCAACCATATTTTCCTTTCTTCCACATGTGCAGCTCTTTGAACGGTCCGGCGTGCGGAGGATTCATGAATGGAATACGAACCATAAGGTAGGATTTCTAGTTGAACCGTTGATCGTGCGTGTTGTTCGCTAATGCCTTGTGCTAGCCGTATCAACTTCTCGCTAGCATCACCCAGATGAGACGGGATACCAGAGAAGTGTTGCACAGGCTGGAACCTTTTCATTTTAAACGTATTGCGAGACACCTTCACACACGCACGCACGCACGCACGCACGCACGCACGCACGCACGCACGCACGCACGCGGCAGCTACTATGTCTGCGTCCGTATGGCTTTGCATCGAATAGATGCTCGAGAGATTTGCTAGTGACGGTGTCATCACGTGACTATGGTGAGCGATCGCGCGATGCACGCGCAGAAGAAACTTTTTCGCAGATTAGTCCGGCAGAAAAGATGGCTTTTTTGCTTGAACCTTGCAATTGGGTATATAGTTTTTTTTATTGCTCTAAAAGTTTGCCTTCATAGTCTACTTCAATGATCCACCAACTGTCACTCTGGCAGTGGTGGGGAATTTACTCTACACATCCTTTATTTAATACTAGCTGCAGGTACCCGCTGCGCTGCAAAATCGTGCTACTAATTCATACTACTAATAATCGGACACAATAGGAACATTGGTAAAAATGGAGAATAACATTGCACACAATATCAATATTTACAAATCAGTCTAATAAAATAATAAGCATGGTAAAAAAACTGTTACGTATGTCATTTATATCACAGCACAACCCAACTTAGAACCCCTGGAACATAATAGTAATATGGTGTAAATGACAAAAAGTTATTATAACAGCATGTACGAATGGGTTGCACTTTTCATTTCAAAGCCTCTTGATAAACAATGTTTTTCGTTTTATTCTCTGGTGCAAATATGTAGAGATTCCTGGCGTCTCCAACTGTTGAGCTCCCCACGTACAGCTGTCCGTGGGAGAAGCAGGACTGTCCGAGGTGCAGACCGACGACAGACAGCGTCTGGCCTTGAGCTTTGTTGATGCTCATGGCGAAGTTTAGTTTGATGGGGAATTGTATTATTTGTGAGGACTTTAAAGGTGACATGGATGTACTGGGAGGCCATCCTCACACGTTAGTCAATACTGGCCAAGATGAAGTGCCTGTAGAGATTTCTCCATACGGCTTAGTAATTCAGAGAACAGACCTCAAGACAGACCATGAAAAAGCAAACACAGTCGTCACAGCACAGGCGATATATGCAGCACAAGAAGAGAAGAAGAAAGTCATTGTTGAGGCACATGACACAGATATGTACGTTCTGTTGCTGTACCATTACCTCGATAGAGGGCTTAACATCCCTATGATAATGCAGTCACCAAGGAAAGGCAGAGCTGTTGTGGATATTAGTGCTACAGTGATAAAGTATTCCAGCATCATTCCCGACATGTTACCAGCCCATGCCCTGACAGGTTGCGACACTGTTCCCATGTGCCACGGGATCGGAAAGGGCAAGATGTTGAAAACGCTTCGAGGAGGAAAATGCAGCTTGAGCCTCCTTGGGAATCAGACTGATGACTTTGATGATGGGTTGCTCCAGTCCACAGCTTTTTTCTCAGCATGCTACAACATGCATGATGCAACATCCATGCCTAAGTCAAGAATTCAAGCTTGGAAAACAAAGACAGGTAGAAAAGGAGCAACAGCTACACCGAAGCTGTGCCCTCTGCCACCCACCGCTTCATTCAAAGAAAATGTCAAAAAAGCACACTATCAGTGCTGCATCTGGAGACATGCCCTACAAGAGCATCCAGACCTTGATCCCACGGAATATGGCTGGGTAAGGGATGAGGAAACTAAGTCCCTACAGCCTATAGCTGTCGCTCTCCCTGTTACGACTTTCCCAGCACCAGATTACATACGCAAGCTCATCAAGTGTTCTTGTTCTTCGGAGAGTCCATGCAAGTCCAAGGGCTGTGGTTGTAACATTGGTAGACTGGCGTGTACAATGTTTTGCAATTGTCAGGGCAGTGCTGCATGTTGTAATGAACAAACTAGAGTCGTCCAACACGAAGCCTTTGATGACGAGGAAGAGGAGGAGGAGGACGATTAAGACTGATTTTGTTTTGAAATTGTACCAGAAAATGTAAATTGTAGGTAACCTATAAAACTAATTTTCGTGGATTTTGCGTGTTTAACATAGGGGAAGGTTTAACGGTAAACCAATTTTTATGCCTAATCACAGACGTTTATTCGTTTATGCTTGTATTAGTCTATAACTATTTCAAAATTTCAAATGCATCTGTAAATGATGGTATAATATAATTTTTACATGCATTGGCATCTCATTATTGGACACTAGGCTTTATTTAATCCAAATTCAATTGTTTATGATGCGGTTTTGGATAAATCTACATTAAATAAAATTCCCCACCACTGAGCAACTGCCAGTTGTTAGAAATGCCTTATTTGGTGCAAGAACATAAGAAAACGAACGTAAGAAAAACTATATACCTCCATGCAAACCATATGCCCTATTCTGCCGGACTAGATCGCAATGACGTTGTTTGTATTGTTACTCCTGTCGCAGTAGTGGAAAATCGGCGTCGACTCGTTATACGACGCGGCGCCGCGTAAGAGATGCGGTTTCACTGCCTCTGAGGCGTCTGTCTAGACACTCCCCACTACCTGCCTACTAATGCGGATCACAGTCTTATGCTTGCCGAAAATGCAAGCATATCTGCGTGAAACCAACGAAATACTAACGATTGCCTAGTCGTGCTAACATCACTGAACTACACGAGTCCGCGGCCGCAGAAATAATCAGCTAATGGCGAATAGTGCATTTTATCCATTTTTACCAAGCACTAGTTCTTTTCGTTATCCTGTCACCAACCCACCGCAATATTCAATGGAGCTGAATTGATAGAGTTTTACACGCAGAATCAGTGACTGGCTTATAGACGCAGACGTTCGTCTGTAACTCACAGACATGCTTGCAAATGTTTTTACTTTAACTGAGAGACAAAGAGAATGGATAATACGGTTGCAAGTAAAACAAGCAGGCACGCCGCTGGCAGGTAGGTAGCAGTCGCAGTAGCACAGGTAGATATGTTCAGTTGCACACACAGGCAGACTGGCAACAACAGGTAGCCAAGCAGGCAGGCGGTCAGGCAGGCAGGCAGACACGTAAGCTTGCAGCCAGGCTTGCAGGCAGGTAAGCATGAAACTAGTGGGTAGGCAGGTAAGCATGAAACTAGTGGGTAGGCAAGCAGGTAAACACAGTCTGACAGACAGTGTCGGACGAACAGGCAGACACAAACTAATTCACATAGTCAGGCAGACAGGCAGGCATATCCAGGCAGGTATAGTCTGATGGGCAGTCAGTTGGGAGACTGAAAGCCCAATGTCACCTAAGATCTATATAGTGATAATTCTGTTTCACCATGGAGCACGAGCAACACTGACCATTACAGTCAAGCCTGTATTGTAGTAACCTTAGGCGGTTCTGTGATGTCAACTCGGCAACAGTCCCGGCAAACGGCAGTTCTGTGCAGTCAATACCACGACAGCTCTGGCAACCGGCAGTTCTGTTCTTGTCAACTCGGCAGCGGTTCTGGCAATCAAGCAACAAGATTTCTCTGCGGCCGTCTCAGCTAAGTTGTGCCGTCGATCAACAGGACTTCTTGCCAAGGGACGCTATCCTGCGCCATGTAGCGTCGTCATCGTAGGCGTAGCCTCGAAGTTTAATAATGACAGTACAGTTCAGAGGAGATGTGGTTGCCGCATTCGGGGTAACCGATGCGCCACAACATACGGCAGTGGTGGCAAGTGGGCGAAGACCGTATAATGCGACCGCGTCCAGGGTAACCGACGACCAACCTACAATCCACAACGTTAAAACCACCAGAAGACATCCTCTCACCCTTGGCGCTTGGAATATACGTACCTCTAATGATAGTAATAATTCAATCAGACCAGAACGTGTAACAGCTATCATCTGCAGAGAATTAGAGAAAACATGTATTGATATCTGTGCGCTCAGTGAAGTGCGGCCCGGCTCAGGCAATATCGTTGAACGATGTCACACAATCTACTGGAGTGGAGGAAAAGAGAAAGCAGCAGGTGTTGGTTTTGCCATCTCCAACAAACTAGCTCCTCAAGGTATCAATCCGATACCAATCAATGACAGGCTTATGTCAGTGCGCATATACAGTTGAAGAGTGGCGAACACCTTATACTTAGCGTATATGCACCAATTATGCAAAGAACACATAAAGACAAAGAACAGTTTTGCGAACGGCTTGGCACTTGCATTACAGCAGCTAAAGATGACAGCATCATAGTTCTAGGTGATCTTAATGCTCGTGTTGGCATAGACTGGAAATCGTGGCCATCTGTCATTAGTAAACACGGCGTTGGTAATATGAATTCAAATGGACTAATGCTATTAGAGTTCTGTACCAGATTTCAGCTTGCAATCATGGGTACAATGTTTCAACTTAAAGACAGCCCGAAGAACACATGGCAGCACTTGCGGTCAAAGCACTGGCATCAGATTGACCATGTACTAGCAAATCAAGCTGCAAAGCAACACGTCATAGTAACCAAAGTCAATCAAACAGCAGACTGCTTCACTGATCACAAGTTGATTGTTTGTAAGAGTTATTTCTCCATAAAACCAAAGAAGAAGGCCACAAAGCCTCTCAAAAAGCTTGACACTGGCCTCAACAATGAAAGAAAAGAAATGCTGGAACAGTTCTTGAATGAAAAATTGTTTGATTGCAAAGAACATTGGGAAGAACTCAAAGAAGTGCTTCAAAATGCAGCCAAAAACGTATTTGGAAAGAAGGAAAAGAAACAGAATGACTGGTTTGATGAGCAGGATGGAGAAATCAGAGAGCTGCTTCAAAACAAGAAACTGAACAGGAATGCTCTTAGAGAGCGTATCAGAAAGCTAAAGAATGACTGGTTCCAGCGAAAAGCTGAAGAAGCAGAGATTTTTTCACAGATAAAATAACCATAGAGAATTTTATGCCACTCTCAATGCTGTCTACGGTTCAAGAACTAAAAGCTCC